TAAACACAAGACGGAGCGGAGCGAGTGGGAATGGAGCGCGGAATGATGATGGAGAGGATGAGGAGGAAGAAGATGAAGATTGAAGTTCTATCCCTTTTATTTTGGTTGTGTTAAAACAATTTTTGCTTATTGTTTGTTTTTTTTGTTTGTTTGTTTTGTTTGGTTTGAACGAGTAATTTAGGATTTGTTTATGGTTTGTTTTTCCTTTTTATTACGTGTTTGTTTTAGTCTTTTCAGAATTTGGATAAAGGGTTTGCAAACGAAGAGTCTAGAGAGTCATTTCATAGAAGCATCGAGTCTAGGCGAGCGAGAATGGAGTTTAAGTATCGAGTCCGGTTTTAGAGAGGGTTGAAGAGTGCGTAGATACTTAAGAAGAGAAGGGCATAAGTGTCTTTTTGATGATTACTTCAGCACACCAGAAGCCGGATTTAAAGCAGAATATATTTTCATTACACAGCGATGGACTCGCCGAGTGCACATACTAACTCGACGAGTCCCAGTGTGATTTCACGATTTCTGCCTTTTCCCGCTCCTACTCGACGAGTCTCCATTCCACTCGACGAGTTGTTTATCATTGCACCTCTAAAGTTACTGATTTGATGTTATACGATTGATTCCTGGAACTTTCCAAGGGATTTTCCTGCATATTTGGAGCTAACCACACGAGATTTGACACCCAAGACATGGATGAGCTGTTCCCATGTTTAAAGTCAATTGAAGATGGAGCTTTCAAAGAAGAAGATCAACCTCGCAACTACTATCCCAGGGGAGTTTGTTCCAATTCCCTCTTTATTTTATTGTTCTTTATCATGCATAATATGCAATGGGGACATTGCATAAATTAAGTGTGGGGTAGGGGGTTGGTTACATTAGTTAAATTTTAGTTAAATTATGAAATTTTTGAAATTTTTGCATAAAATTGCTAGGCTAAATTAGAAATTTTGGTAAAAAGCAATTAGGATTCCATGCTAGTGTTATGTTTGATGATTGCATGAAGACCCAAATGTTTAGTTGAGCCTATACACGTTCTAGTGCATTTGTGGCTCCCTTTATTCTAGTGAAATCATGGGACAAAAACACAACCTCTCTTAGTTTGAGGGTCGCAATATGTTTAGCATCGTGTACCAGAAATGTATCCAGGAAAATTTTTATCTCTAATCAATAAAGGTTGAAGTTGAGCGCCCCTGCTTAAGCATGTAGGTATTGAGTGAAAAAAAGTGAGTTACATGTAAAAAAAAGAGAGAGAATTACAAGAAAAGTTGTAAGAATTTTGGAGCAGTTAAAGTGAAGATCAAAAGATCAAAATTCTGAAGAAATCCAAAAAGTTGAAGATACCAAAAATCAAACAAAAAAGGTGGTGAATTCAAAGAAATCAAAGCAAATATCAAAGAAGAGATGAATTCAAAGAGCTCCATTGTGGTATCAAAATTTGTAATTTTCTAGTTATGTATGCTTGGGTTGCTCAACCAAAAATACCTTGAGGCTAGGAGGTGTTCTGCGGATGGATTCGGAGGGATGCATAAAATGAGCGTTGTTCAAAAGAAGTGGGCAAGTGTTTATGAGGATTGTGAGTATTTAGAATTGAGGGGGGTCATTAGGAAAAACTTTAGACACAAATGCATGCGTTGCAGTCTTGACATAATGGCTGGGTTTGATTGGGATTGTCTTATGTAAAATTAGTGTGCTAAAATTCAGTTTTGCTTGGGGGCAAGCAAAAGTCAAGTGTGGGGTATTTTGATATGTGCATATTTAGCTATATAATTTAGTATAGATTTTCATTATTTATTAGCTAATTATTTACATATTATGGACAAAAGGTACTTAATAGTGTTCAAATTGTATTTTCAGTCCAAAAGATATGCTCAGAAGCAAAAGGAAGCACGAGAAGCAGTTGGAAGTTCAGGAGTTGAAACAGAGAAGAAAAATGCCAAAAACAAGAAGGACTCGGCGAGTCAAAGCCTGACTCGACGAGTTGGATCGAAGATTCGAGAAGCTCTAGAAGTCCTTGCCGTACACGGATTTTTAATGAGGGACTCGACGAGTTGGGACCTTGACTCGACGAGTCACCTCTGTTTCCAGAAAAATATAAATAGGGACTTTGAGATCGAGATGGGGACTTCTCTGGAACCGTAGGAGGCTCAGATTGCGATTGAAGATACTGCTAGACCGAGAGAAGCTGAGGAATCAACCCTAAGTTCGTTTTTTGAAGAGGATTAAGGAAAATTCTAATTCATTCTTAGTTAAGCTTTTGATTAAATCATGTTTGAACTAATTGAATTCGTTTTTGAGTTTGTTTTTACTGCAATTATGAACTAAAAACCTTTGTCTTCTGTTTAGGGTAGATGATTTTGTGAATATGGATTGAATTTATGGTTAGAATTAATTTTAATTGGTGATATTGTTTTGCTAAGCTTGTTAAAGAACCTCATAGATTAATAACAACTATAATCTGTTAATAAATCAATAATTAAGTTGTATGAACATCTCTTAGTTATTAATTTCATATAATTTATGTGACCACATAGTTATATGTCTAGGAATAACGAATGTGAAACTAGAATAAACTAGAAGATAGGTAAATTAATACGTGAGCTTGTGTGATACACCATCAACAAGAGGTTAATTGAATCACCAATTCAATTAACCATTACAAGTCTTACTTAACCCGAATTAATTAACTAGGGAACTTATTAATTTAGACAACTGGTCGCTGCTTGAATTAACCTGTTTTCTAAGGATTAGCAATAACGAACGTGAACCTAATCATCTAAATCGGTAGCCAATGAAAAGTTAATCCGATATATTTACCATAAAATCAACCATAGGATCAAATGACTCGAACCTAGACAGAAGCCCTTTTTATCATTGAATTTAGTTGCAATTTAATTGTTTAGCTGCTTAATTAAGTGCTAGGTAAGTTTTAGTTAAATTTCTAGTCTTGTAAAACTAGAGAAACCCCTCCTATTTTATTATTTGTTTTAGATAATATTAGTAATTAGTTTAATTTCCGTTCCCTGAGTTCGATACCCTACTTATTTAACTATACCACAACTGATAGGTTCACTGCCTTTGTGTGTCTAATTCATAAGTGAAGAGTAGGATAAAACTTAGTTCGTTTCACACACATCAATATATATATATATATATATATATTATATATATATATATATATATATATATATATATATATATAATATTAAAATATTTTAGGAGATTTAATACCATTTCCAAATTTCAAATTAGAGTTTAGCGGATAGGATTATGTGCAAGGTAGGGTGCTTCTTGTTAGTTCTTACATGAGAAGCTTGAAGGGCTTAAATAACATAAGTAATCCAAATCAAATATGAACTCTCATATTCTCTAGTGTCGAATTCCTTACTTAATGTAGTGATAAGCTTCTTCAATGTCAAAGGCCAAAGGCATTGTTTTTGAAGTTACATGTTGGGCATAATGATTCTAAAATAGGTGATAGAAGTAGGCTGTACATTCTATGATTGAAGTGGACTCATAGAAGGTGAAAATGACTGAAATAAGACAAAATTGAAAAAAAAAACAAAACAAACAAATCGTGAAGAGCATATAATAACTACATGTAAAAAGTATCATTTCAAAACGAAACCCTAAATTTTTAAAAGAATGTACTACAGGGAATAACCAACCTCATATTTTTCTATTCTTGCCAATAGCATACTCATTTCACTTGCTCTATAATCGGATTCTCCAAATCCTACAACTGGGCAATATTCAACACTAAAGGAAAAAGTTATAATGACAAAAATGCAAATTCTATGCAAGTTTAAAATTGAAGTTTTATAACAATAAATGCATACATACACCAGGGGAGAATAAAAACCAAACAATGCAGGCTATACAAATGTATAAATGAAGACTAATAAACCAGAAATCAAAGAATCTTAATCACCAAAATTGAAAAAAATACCTAGGATGGATGTTCTTCAATATCCATTTGTTTGGTAGATTTCTGGATGATCGTTAATTATAGGAGCAATGAAAGGATTCAAGTAAGAAGCATAAGAACAGATGAGATGAATCTTTTAGGTATTTCGATGATCAGAGCATCTAGGGATTCCAATTTAATGGTGTCGGTAATAGCCATGGATCATGGGGCAAAGATATTGGCCAGATGTGACATCACTCCAGATCGCAACCCGATTCCTTAATCAAACTCTTCAATGTTCTATTCATAAATGTATTGAGATACATAAACAAAAATTGAAACCTAACATAACAAAGAAATTGAACGATTCAATCAATTATGGCAAAAATTATGGTTGAAGAAACGAATTAAAATCTGAAAGGACAATTATCGAGAACGGAAGTACTTTCACAAAAGGGAGAGAATCGTACCTGGATTCGAGGTCGCATAAGAGAGAATCGATCGAAGCAAACTCTTATATAGCCGGGACATGTAGCGAAAATAAAACCGATTTGCAGTTTCTGGCTTCGATCTTGACGGAGGTTGTAGAACGTGGGAAGAAGACAACGTGGGGAGAAGAAGGAGGAGGGTCGTCGAAACCGATTGCTGGAACTGCAAAAAACTGCCAAAATCGAGTTTATGCGGCCGAGATTGAAAGAACGTGGAGTTTAGACGGCTGAGATTTGGACGACGGCAGTTAAACTCACCGTCATCAATAGTATTAATAATATTGAATATATTTATTAAAATATTTTTGTAAATGAACATTTTTATTAACTAAAATACATACCAAAAAGTATTAATACTTAATTTATCTAGATTTTATCCTTAAATTTCGTTATAAATTTATTATAAGTTTTATTTTGAAAAAATAAAAAACTTTTAGTCTTTTATTTTATAATTCAATGTATCCATAAGTTTAAAGGACCGATGTGAATCGGATGGACGGTGGTAAATAAGTGCGTGTCTATCTCCTTTGACATAATCTTTTATGGATAAAATCCATGTCAGAAATATAACATTTTTAATGGTTTTAAAAGGCGTGACAGGACAAATAATTTGTTAGCTTATATATTTATTTATATTCGTATTAAATCCCAGGTTGCCATATTAGTGATTACAGACTCTAATCTTTCTTCAAATACAATACATATATCATATCATATGTGTATATATAATACCAAAGATCGATGATGTATCGGTTTCTGATCATCCTCCTTTGTTTATGTACTGCAAATTTAACGTCAACAAAGAGAATCGAGTATCTTCCGGGTTTTGAAGGACCTGTTCCGTTCCATCTCGAAACAGGGTATTCGATCATTCATTAGATCTACTTCACTTCTTCTTCTTCCTCAGTTTGTTTATGTGATTTTTAACCACCAAATTGAAATGAATGACATATATGTATATGTAGGTATGTGGGAGTGGATGTGAATGAGGATGTTCAACTGTTTTACTACTTCATTCATTCTGAGTCAAATCCCAAAGATGATCCTCTCTTGCTTTGGCTTACCGGTGGCCCCGGTTGTTCTTCAATCTCCGGCTCCTTCTGCAGATCGGTATCTATTATAATTTACTATTATTTATTGATATTTGATTGATTTCTTATCAATAAGTAAATAAATATAGATCAGCAAACATTATTTAATAAGGATGAAACTTCGGTTCCTTATCCCAATCCAAACAAAATAGGTCCAATTGAGTTTCGCGCGATGCCTTACAATGGAAGCTTGCCCACCTTGATTCCGAGACTATATTCATGGACCAAGGTCTCTCTCTTTCTCTCTCTCTCTCTCTCTCTCTCTCTCTCTCTCTCTCTATATATATAATATATATATATATATATATATATATATATATATATATATATATATATGTTTACAAGAACGGCGGATAAGTTTTGTGTGGAAGGCGGCTTTCGATGCAATGCCTCTCGATGGACCTACAGGGGGGCGGTGATTAGGTGCAACATAACTAAAAACTAAATATATACAAACGTGTCAATACGATTGATCATTGGATGCTATGGAAACTAGATCTAGTCAAAAGGTAGGACAGATAGGATGGTATATTTTGGGTTTGTTTATTTTTATAAAAAAGTATACATGGTGTCTCTATTAATTAGTGTCACACTCAACATTCGAATGTGATTCATAATGTCATTAGAGCAAAGTGCAAAGATGGTGGTGCACCTCTTCTACAAAATTCTTAAACCCTTACTGCTATGCTACTTATGGAGGTACTTATGTACAAGTAATGGCTTAAGTATGATACAAGAACTATATTATTACAATAGTAATGTAATTATTTTAATAAACCCTAATTTTGATTTATTATAGATAGAACGTGTATCAAATTGACTACTCTTATATAACACATCTTTTTTGAATGCAGATGACAAACATAATTTTCTTAGATATTCCGGTAGGTACAGGGTTTTCTTACGTAAAATCGACACGTGACGTTCATTCTACCGACATCCAATATTTTGACCATGCCTACGAATTTATGAGAAAGGTACATTTCTCAAACATTATTTTTTATCTTGCAAATTTAAAAGACGGTGAATTAATTTCAACTCAAAAGAACTAGGATACTTATGTATAGACTTGTTTTTTTAGATGCGGTTAGAAATACGTTCCTTTTAAATATCTATTTACGTTTATTCAAAATTAAACACCACAATGAAAGGATATTTGTCATAAATTTTGGAAAAGTAAAAGAAAATATTTACAAACTTTGCAAATAGTATTTATACATATTAAAAATATAAGTTTTAAGAGATGCATTTTGTTTTTAAAACAAGTATATTTTTAATCGATTTAAAAGTAATTACCTAAGTATGTTAAATGTGAAAAATTATGAGTATAAATGTAAAAGAAAGTTATATGAATTTGTAAAATAAGTTAATAAAAATGTTGTGGAAAATTATAAAAAAAAGATTATTTTTTTTTAAATAGTTTCTACAAAAAGTTTTCTAAAAGAAGTTTAAAAAGATTGAATTTGTGAAAACAAACTAATTTTGAGGCAAATCTATAAAAAAAATGTTTAGACCATATTTATAACAAAATCTAAAACTCTTGCAAAATTATAAAGTTAACCTATGGAAATCATGTAAAAAATGTTTTACCCTTTGATAGTTTGATGTAATAAAATGCGTCTGTTGATCATTTGTAAGCCACTAGACCACTAGAATAGTCTTTCCAATTAAACATAGTGTTGGCCTTATAATAAATAAAATAGAGATCCTTATTTTGTTGCCTTGCTTTTTTATATTTGCTTGTCGTAACATTTCATCAAACCAATGTACTAAATATGAAACATGTTGTATATGATATCTAACCGTGCAAGTCTTCTTACTATACTTGGATACATTCCATAGTGGTTTAAGCGTAATCCAGAGTTCACTTCCAACCCATTCTATGTTGCCGGAGACTCGTACTCTGGAATACCTGTCCCCGTAATCACGCAACTAATATCAAATGGTATGTTATTAATGTTTTTTGAAAATGTTTGGGCATTAATTATGTATAATCAAATTTAACATAACTTTTGTCATGTGTAGGAAATGTCGCTGGAACTAAGCCTTACATTAATCTCAAGGTTTCATGTTTTATCCCATGTAAATTGCAATTATGTATTACAAAATCAGTTTACAAATGATAGATGAATCTTGTGCAACAGGGTTACATACTCGGGAACCCTATTACTTTCCCTGCTAACAATTACCAAATCCGATTTGCAAATGGTATGGGACTTATTTCAGATGAGCTCTATAAGGTTTGTCCAGCTTACATCGTAAGCATCTCCTATATTTCAATACTTGTTTAATTATCTAATGATTTTCATTAATGTCTTTATAGTCATTGTTACAAAGTTGTCATGGAGAATATCAATTAGGTTATATAGACCCAAACAACGTAGAGTGTCTTCGAAACCTTGAGTTATACCAGGAGGTTTATTACTTATTCCTCATTCATTCTTTGTTAGTTATAAATTTATTTACTTGACGCCATGAAAAAAACCGGAATATTTAACTTTTGTAGTGTATTAATGGTATTGAAAAGGAAGACGTGTTAGAACCGTATTGCAGTGCAACCGTTTCGCCTATAGAACTGCCTAGCCAAATACGATCTAAAGAGCGTCGGCCTCTTTCTGCATCTTATTGTCAAGTATGTCTACTATATAATCCTTGTAAAATCCAGTTACATGAGATTTAATTAGCATGTGGTTTTGACGATGCAGTATGATCCAAAAGATCTAGTTAATTATTGGGTGAATGATGATGACGTCAAAGAAGCATTGCATATCCGAAAGGTAATTATACATTTAAAGTAAAATATAATCGTAGTTATAAGCACTTGAACAGAAACTAGCTTGTACTCTTTTGAATTGACTAAGTTTAGGTTACAGTATAATTAAGCACATATTATAGAGGAAATCGAAGCACATATTATAAGACTAAGAAACTCAATATTGTTATTCTCAACCAATCATTTTGTCAAAGACATAAACGTCAACCCATTTACTTGGTCGGGACGCGTTCGCACGCGACGCACACCCGTGAAACGTAATACGACCTAGAGGGAATAATCATGTGCGACGAACGTCTATAAAACGTCATTTAAATAGGTTTTTTTTTTCTTTTACGTTTATTTTGGTTCTTTTTTTTTT